TTTACCTCTCAGTTCTTGAGATTGGAATTCCAGGAGCGTTTTTCTTCATTTAGGCCTCTTAGCTTAATTAAAGGGATGCCCATTGAATTGGTCGGTACAGGTGTCTAGCACTCAATGAGTCCTAGAATAATCCCCAGAAGAATGGTTTTCCATCACTTTGGTTCAGTGCTTGCTCTATTTTGGGGGACCAATGGCAGCCCAAAAGTGCACAATCATCTTGTTTTACAGCCAGGGAACAGGCCAGAGAGGTTAGGGGACTTGCTCAGGGTCACACAGCCCGCGAGTGACCATAGAGCCAGACTAGACCTCAGGCCTCTGGACTCCTCCTGAGTGCGTGTGCCCTGTGCCTGCCTGCCGCCCTGACTTCCGGCCTGGCAGAGGAGGGGACCCCGTGGAGCCCGCCTGCTTGGCGACTGAACACTGTGTTGGCACCACGGCGACCTGTCCAACATGCTGGAGCACAGACCAGACCTGCAGGTTTCCTCTGAGCGTGTGCTCATAATTGGCCTGCCGAACCGGGCCCATGTCCTGCTCATTGGAATTCAAATTTGAGTGACTGGGTGTGGAAGTCGCCAGAGCGTAGGCCCAGACAGGTCAGTCTTTCCTTTAATTGGTACATTGCGTTAACCACCGGGGAGCCAATCCCGGCCGCACCCTTGGTTTGTGCGTAAGACGTTCCCCTGGCCTGCCCTGGCCGGTGTGGCGCAATGGATAGAGCATCACCCTGTGGCCTGAAGGGTCCTAGGTTCGATTCCAGTCAAGGGTACATACCTCGGTTGCAGGCTCCATCCCAGTCCTGGTCAGGGTGCGTGCGGGAGGCAACCAATGGATGTGTCTCTCTCACATCGATGTTTCTCTCTGTCTCTCCTCCTCGCTTCTACTCTCTCTAAAAATAATGAATGGAAACATATCCTTGGGTGAGGATTAACAAAACAAAAGAAAAAGGAAGAAGTTCCCCAGCTCCCGAGAAGCTGTTTGCCCGCTTCAACAGGCAGCTTCCAGCGACATCTGTGCCATGGTTTTGTTTTTAAATGTGTGCACATACCTGTTTACTTTTGATTTTGTATAGAACATCCTAAGAAGGCGAAACAAGAAGCGGCATTAGCGCTCTCCCTGCAGCAGGTCAGCGTCACGTGGGTGGTGCTTGTCGGGAGCCGGAGGCATGGGGACCAGATGGAGACTGTGCTCCTGGGCGGGAGGCTCCGGGAGGAAGCAGCGGGGTCTGTGGGGCGAAGAAGCCGAGCGCACCTTCCGCGGTGTGGCAGCTCCGCAGACCCCTGTCATCAGCTGGAGGTGCATTTGCAAGGAGTGAGTGAGGGTTCGTCAGCCTTTGGGAGCACCTACTGTGTGCCTGATGCACGTGGGTGCCTCACGCTCACGATCTGAGTAACAGCGGATGAGAAGGCTGCTTCTGGCCCCGGTGTGTTAGCCTGTCCGTCTGTGTAGCAGCCCATAGTGCGAGAAGTCACTTTGAGCCTGGGTCTGTTGTCCGCTGCAGTCTGTGCTCGAACACCTGAGATTAATGGAAAAAACATGGGTGTTGGCATGAAGCTGAGCCAAACTGAAGTCCTGGTCCCGTGGCGCCAAAGCTATGTGCGCGCACCAGTCTGCCCTTCTCCGCTCCGAGCCTCCCGGGTGACGGAGGTGACCTCCCGAAATGACCCCGGGGCTCAGTGCCAGAGTTGCTCCGTTTTTGTGCAGAGGACAGGGCCTCGGGGCTTTAGAAACGGCTGTCTTGCCACACAGCCCTCGGGAAAGAAGTTGCCTCAGTGACTAGCTGCCCGCTCAGCGCCCTCACCTGTCCCAGCCAAAGGCCGCGCAGGAGCCCAGACCGTCCCCCGTGATGGTGATTAGATCCCCTTGATCCTCTGCCGAGGAAGCCTGTCCTGAGGTCGGGGGTTGAGGTCAGGGGCCGAGGTCAGGGGCTGAGGTCAGGGGCCAAGGTCAGGGCCTGAGGTCGGGCTGAGGTCAGGGGCCAAGGTCAGGGGCTGAGGTCAGTCGCCGAGATCAGGGGCTGAGGTTAGGGGCTGAGGTCTGGCCGCTACTTCTGGAGAGAAAAGATGGAGAAACAGGAGGGAAACCCACTTGCTAGCTCATCCAGCCCTTGCCTCTGGTCCTCACCTGTGTGGGGCCCACTGCCCAGTGCTGCTGGAGGAACGGTGCCCTGTGAATCCCTTAGACCAGTGATGGCGAACCTTTTGAGCTCGGAGTGTCAGCATTTTGAAAAACCCTAACTTAACTCTGGTGCCGTGTCACATATAGAAATTTTTTGGTATTTGCAACCATAGTAAAACAAAGACTTACATTTTTGATATTTATTTTATGTGTTTAAATGCCATTTAACAAAGAAAAATCAACCAAAAAATGAGTTCGTGTGTCACCTCTGACACGCGTGTCGTAGGTTCGCCATCACTGCCTTAGAGGCAGAGGCCGGCACTCAGGGCGCGGCAGTGGGCCTGGCGGAGCAGAGGTGCCCAGCCTGTGTTGAGCTGAAAGGGAACGGGAAGGTGCCGGCCGAGGGCTTTGTAGGGTATGATGCGTGACTCGGTGATAGCTCGTGCAGTCCCTGTTGTGAGTGGCTCCATGCGTCAAACGTGGAACCTGCCGATACTGCATTTCCAGTCCTTGTACTGACCTCATGAATTAGAAGGACTTGGCACCATTCTGTAGATGGAGAAACGGAGGCTCAGAGTGGTGAGGGGTCTGACCCGGTCACACAGCTGGAAGCTGCTGCCCTGCCGCCAGGGAGCCGCACACGCTCAGGTGCTGGGAGTCCTCCCGGACGGACAGGCCCTCTGTGCTGTGTGCGGACACGGCTTAGTGAGCGGTTAGAATGGAAGTGGGCTTGGACTTGGGTTTCGTTATTTCAGTTTAAAACGGGCCTGGGTGGGAGTTAACCCCTTTTGCTACATTCTCCCAGTGTTACTTGTATCGGGGCCTTTTAAATTTCCTCTTAGTTGTTACAGTGTTAACTGTATCCGAGCTTTTACAAGTGGTTACAGCGGATCTGTCCTCTCCAGGGCCCTGTAAGCGCCGCGCTCCTCTGTCCGCTCCTCTGTCGGCTCCCGTGTTGGGAAAGGACTCCTTCCTGCCCTGCTGTCCCGCTTCCCGTGCCGCTCCGTGAGAGCGCTTCCTGACGGTCTGGGTGCGTCTGAAGCCACAGGTTTATGACGGGAGGGTTCCTGCCCATTTCACTGACACCAGCCAGCAGTCAACACATTTTCTCGCTCGGCCTCTCCTCCCTCCCTCCGCTCTCTTTCTTAATCCCTGGAATCATACTTTTCTAGGTTTCCTCTCTAAAGAAAAGCTTTGCCTGTTAGAAAGATGAAAATGGTGATATAGCTTATAATAACAACAACAACAACAAGCATAACGAATGCCTTCTTTTTAATTGAACATCTTAGAGGCCAGAAACTGCTTAGCCCTTAATTCGTGGACTCTCCTGAAAGCCTCACAGCAACCCTAATGGTGGGGCCCATTTTGAACCTCCTTTCACAGGCTCCTTCCTCCCAGGCCACAGCCAGCAGAGAAGCCATTTCCCACTGCGTCCCCAACCCAAGGCTGGTTTTTGCCAAAAGGGGCGATTGTGGACAGAGAGTTGGCATGTCATGGAGGTGATTTTTAAAAATATATCTTTATTGATTTCAGAGAGGAAGAGAGAGGGAGAGAGAGCTAGAGATAAATGCATCAATGATGAGAGTGAGTCATGGATCGACCGCCTCCTGCATGCCTCCCACTGGGGATTGAGCCGCAACCCGATGTGCCCTTGATCAGAATCGAACCCGGGACCCTTCAGTCCTCAAACTGTTGCTCTCTCCACTGAGCCAAATCGGCCAGGGCTGGAGGCGATTTTTAAAAGCAGCATTTTAGAATGTCTTGTGAACATTCTTTCCTCTTTAGATAGTGGGATTTAGAGGAGGCATTCGTTCTAGGAAGGTGGCGTTCTCAGGGCTCTTGTCCTTCAAAACAGGCCTATTGCAAATGGAGCCATGAGGCACGCACGTGTCCGCACGTGCACGCACACGCGGCACCCCACACCCACAGGTAATAAATGATTCATCTCCGCCAGCGGTAATCTGATGCCTCCCATTATGATCCCTGTAACCCAGGACTGTAGAGATAGCCTGCCCCCGCCCCCGCCCCGTGTCTGACAGTGGAACCTTACGAGCCAGCTACTGAAAAAGAAACATTGAATGTGAAGTGGAACCTCCTCAAGCCCGACTCCTAGCAGCGCCACAGGGCATCCCGGTCCCTCGTGAGACGCGTCGCTAACGGCGGGCGTGCTGTCCCGTCCTGAGTCAGCGGCTGAGCGTGGAGCTGCGTGTCTTACACACGGGCTGCTCTGTGCTTCAGGAGGAAAGCTGTTCCCGAGAGGAAGTGGGAGGTAGGTAGGGACCTAGGTTGGTGTCCAGTGTCAGGAACATCACCCGTTCGTTGTAAGAGAGGGTTGTCTGAGGGGCAGGTGCTGAGGGGCAGCTCAGATGGGATTTCCACGTGTGTGTGGTCCAGCTCAGCGTGGTGGCCGGTGCTTTCCAGCGACGTCAAAGCCAGAAAAAGAGGAAGTGAGTGATTCTGTGTGGCATGCGGCGACGCCCGCTCATGGGGATTTCTGCTCCCTGGGCCATCTCGGCAGCTGAACTGCAGCAGAGACCCGAGCAGGAAGCGCCAGTGTCCCCTGTCCGGCCGGAGCTGTCACAGAGGGCGTCACAAAATGCTCGCTGGCCAGCGTGGCTCAGGGGTTGAGCCTTGACCTATGGACCAGGAGTCACAGTTCGATTCCCAGTCAGGGCACATGGCCGGGTTGTGGGTTGGGTCCCCAGGATGGGGCGTGCAGGAGGCAGGCAGCCGATCAATGATTCTCTCATCGCTGATGTTTCTCTCTCTCCTGTCCTCTCCGAAATCAATAAAAATATTAGCTCTACTCAAAACCTGAAGACATGCCGTGTGGAGCCGTGTCGTGAGGCTGGAGGGCCTGTGACATCCCTGGGTCACACCTCATCATGGATCGCGCTTCGCTGGCCGCCCTGTTGAGAGACCCACAGGTGGCCGCCTGCACCAACGCAGAGGCGTTTCTGCTCCATTCCGATGAGTTGTATGAGAGAAGGCTGATGTACCGTAAGATTTGGTAGATGGAGAATATTTGTTTTAATTTTATTTTTAGTATTGAAAGTGTCTTCATTTGTTCTGGGGAGGCCCATTTGTTCTCTGGGCCCGATTTTCCTTATTGATGTTAGAGCTCTTTAGAGCGTGAGGGGCGATGGATGGCCGTCTGTGAGGTTTGTGAGACCAGCCCCTGCCCCATCAGTGCTGTTGGCTTGGATTGGTGATGGGACTTCTCCATGTAGACAGTTTCTGGGTTTTCCAGTCAGATGTCTTGATCTTTTTCTTATGCCTTCTGGGTAGCGGCCTTAGAAGACCTGTGCTGAACAAACATGCTCCAGATGACAGGGCTTGGTGTGCGGCATCTGCCTCTGAGAGCTGGTTCTGTGAAGATGCCAGTGTCGTATCTGATTTTCCTTCTGTTTTCTGTTTCTACTTTGTTTTTGACACATCTTCCTTCTTGGGGAGGCGGGGTGGTAAGAGGAGGATCTAGAAAACCATCTGAGCCCAAGCCTCTCCCTCCCTCCTGGCTGGTTCTGGGTGGTGTTTTCATGAGCCTGTTTTGCTGACAATAAAAAAACAAGTCTGGGGACACCGAGAAACTGGTAAAACAGGAAAGGGAACGTGGGGCCGGGCTGCACTGTGGGAAGGGAGGCTGGGAAACCTGGAAGCTGCCGGCTGTGTCACCTCTGTCCCCTCCGCCGCAGAGGGCCGGCTGGAGGTCACACTGCGAGGAAGGCCCGTGTGCGTGGGGATGAGCATCATCTTCGTGTTTCCCGGCAGCCCCCACCCCCACCCCTTGTGGAACTCACAGATGGACGCACTCTGGAAAGAGGGAGGGAGCAGTGGGACCAGCCTGGGCTCCGCGGTGTGACCCGGGCAGGTCACTTGGCTTTTCCGGGCTCGGCAGCCTTGGACGGCGCCGAAGACAAGCACAAGACCAGAACCTCCCACCTGCCCAGCACCTCTGGGCTGTGGCAAGAAGGACTGAGCCCAGCGCGGTTAGGTCACTGTCCACAGTCACATCAGAGCTGAGATTCGAACCCGGGACCGGCCGACTGTGGCGCACGGCACTGCTTCCCCCCTCACGTGGCTCATGTGCAGATGCTCCCAAACCGACGTCCTGTGCACATTTATGTACAGAGAGGTGCCTCCCTGTCAGCCGCTTCCTCTGGGTCCCGCATGGAGGTGAATTCCGGGTCCTTCTCTCCCACCCCCCGTCTTGCTCCCCTCCCAGCTCTGGAAATACACTTTAGTCCCCAAATTTCCACCGCAAATTAAGCAGAAGCTCTGTCCCTGTGTGGTGGCCATGGCGTAATAATACTGATGGCCGGCAGCTCCCGCTGACCATGGTGCGTCCCGGACCTACCTACGTAGCTCACTGTCAGGAAAACAAAAAACAGAACGCCTCGCCCCAGCCGGTGTGGCTCAGTGGCTAAAGCGTCAGCCTGTGGACTGAAGGGTCCCGGATTCAATTCCGATCAAGGGCACATGTCTGGGTGCCCAGCTTGTGGCCTCGATCCCCAGTAGGGGGCATGCAGGAGGCAGCCGATCCTCGATTCTTTCTCATCATTGATGTTTCTATCTCTCCCTCCCTCTCCCTTCCTCTCTGAAATCAGTAAAAATATAGTGAAAGGAAGAAAATCAGCAGGTAGCAGTGCCAGTCGCGGCCCGGCCCGAGCGCTCACGGGGCACAGGTGGCGCCCCTCCCCCTAGCAGCCGCCCTCGCCCTCAGGAGCCCCACTGGTGTTCTCATCACAGACGGGGAGACGGAGGCCAAGCCCCCCTCCATTGTCTCGGCCGCCTTGATTGCCTGGGTGTTGGGAGCCGGGGCATCGGGTCAGTCTGAACTGTGAGAAACTGGATAGAGAAACCGCCCGGCAGGAACTATGCCCCTAGATTCACGTTTTCCACAATCTGCTCCCCCATTCATGCCGCAGAGGCCCTGTAGGCACCCACTGGGGCCAGCTCGGTGCCAGCACCTGGGGTGCAGCGGGCACGGAGGCGGCCCGGTCCCCGCCCTCTCACAGCGCAGGCCCATGGGACACATGGACGGAAAGCAGTTACGCGTGTAGCTGCATCTCTGTGACACCCAAGTGGACTCGGAGAAAAAGCAGAAGGAAGAAGTGACTTCCATGAGCAGGAAGACATCCTGATACTTTTTCTGACGTTTCATGTAAACATTTTTAACGAACAACAAAAGTGAACAAATTTTACAGTGAAGATTAATGCACCTGCTGCCTGGATTCTACCGTCACCGTCTTACCTGTCTCACCCCCCACGGCCGGCCAGCCACCTGCTGTCTGAGGACACTGCATTTCGAAGGGGAGGATGGGAAGCCATCGCTGGAGCTCAGAGCAGCCGCCCCTCTGGAAGGGCTGGGTCCCCATGTAGCCGTCACACGGGCCTGGCCCCCGGAGGTTGGCAGTGGACCTGGGCTGCACTGTCAAGAGGGGCCTTGTCGCTGGCGGAGATCTTGGCTCCCTGCATTATTGTTTACGTTTTTTATTGATCCCAGAGAGGAAGGGATGGAAACATCGATGATGAGAGTCATTGACTGGCTGCCCCTGCACGCCCCCTACCGGGGATGGAGCCCGCCACCCGGGCATGAGCCCTGACTGGGACTCAAACCGTTCCTATGACCTTCTGGTTCAGAGGTCGACGCTCCACCTCCGGCCGGGCTCCCTGGGTTTATTCGTGAAGCCTGGGGTGCGTTGTCCTGTGGGAGCCAGCAGTAAGTGTCAGCACATTCCCGGCCAGCGGGTCGCACGGCCTCCCCAGCTGCTTCTGCAGGATGAGAGCCAAGGGCAGGAGCAGTCAGTCACCCCATGGCAGCGCTTGGCAGGCCTGTCTTGGGACCAGAGTGCCCAGATTAGATGCTCAGCCCCCTGCAGCCCAGCACCCAGGCAGCTCCCCGTGCCATCTAGGCAGCTCCTCGTGCCATCTGGGCAGCTCCCTGTGCCATCCGGGCAGCTCCCTGTGCCATCCGGGCAGCTCCCTGTGCCATCGGGCAGCTCCCTGAGCCATCCGGGCAGCTCCTCATGCCATCCGGGCAGCTCCCTGTGCCATCCGGGCAGCTCCTCGTGCCATCGGGCAGCTCCCTGTGCCATCCGGGCAGCTCCCTTATTCATGTTGTGGAGATTATCACATGTTTATCCATTCATCTGTTGACAGACACTTGGTTGTTTTCATATCTTGGCTGTTGTAAATAACGCTGCATCCTCGTGCCATCGGGCAGCTCCCTGTGCCATCCGGGCACCTCCCTGTGCCATCGGGCAGCTCCCTGTGCCTTTGGGCAGGTCCCTATGCCATCGGGCAGCTCCTCGTGCCATTGGGCAGCTCCCTGTGCCATCCGGGCAGCTCCAGCATGGCTCGTGGAGGAAATTTGCTCCCACAGGCCTGAGAGACGGCCCGTCGCTGAGGGGAGCAGGTTCACAGCTCAGCCTGGGGGTTCTGGCCCAGAGCCCGGTCCTGACGGGGCCTCAGGAAGGAGGAGAGTAGAGGTGTCAGGGGCGAGGCTGAGTGTGAGGTGGGACCTGGGAGTTTCCACACACAGCTGGGTGACGCCTGTGGCATTTGCTGGACCTGGGGCCTGACCCCAGTTACAATCAAAGTCACAAAAATGATCAAAGTCCGTTCATTGCCAGTGCACGCCCTGGGCACTCTGCTAAACAATTCAACACACGATTTTTAATCCCAGCAACAAGCCTGTGAAATAAGTACGATTACTGCCCCATTGGCCACATGAGGAAGCTGAGACACGCAGGCGGGGAGACTTGCTCCCTGGGGAGTGGTTGGGCCAGGGGTCAAGCTTAGTGTGTCCGGATCCCTCACCCGCCTTCTTTCCGTTTGCTATGGAGTATTTCACTGTAGTGTCCAGTGCTGTTCCTTCAATACACCTCTGTTTAATAGCTGTGATTAGAATGTTCCAGATGGCCGGCCAGGTGTGCTGGTCACCTCGGATGGAATTCGGCCTGCAGATGTCCCTCCCCCAGCCCTCTGCTCCCATGCAGTCAGTTGGTGTGCCCACCAAGGCCCCTGCCTGGCCCGGGGCAAGGGGACATGGCACCCGAGTTCTCCTCCTGTGGGTTTGGTACCCACGGTGGCCTGCCCGGGCATCTCTGTCCCCTGAGCTCTGGGCTCAGCAATGAGCAGGTGTGTTCGGGCTCTGAGGGTGAAGTCCACACTGAGCCTGCCCAGCGGGGAGCCGGTCATTCCCTGATGGTTCCTCTGCGCTGAGCCCTTGGCAGGGAGCTCTGACCCGGGCAGGGGGGTGTCTCTGGTCCCCGTGCCAGCCTGCCAAGTGGGTCACAAAGAAGGGGAAGGAGCAGGCGCAGGCCACAGGCTGCTCACATTTCATGTGGAGCCTGGAGTTCCAGGCATGGCCAGTTTCCAGGCCTACGTCTCAGTAACTCAGCTATTTTAGGATGCTCTGTTGTTTTACGAGCTGCCAAGAAATGGAAGACACCTCCAATTCAAGCACCTTCTGCGTCCACAGGTGAACAAAGTGTATGTCTTGGAAGTGGACTGTTTTGTCATCCTCGGAGCGCCCCTGTGACCGGTTCTGTTGCTCCATTTGCTAGATGGGAAAGTTGAGGCTCCGAGGGAAGGGATACACTCCCAAGCCCTCATGACCAGAGCGTGCAGCGTGGAGTGTCAGGGCCACGTTCACGGTCTGTGAAGTGACTGACGCCGTTGCTGGTGTGTTCTGGGCTCCTATGCAGTCTCAGGACCTCGGAGCCTCGTTTCTTCCTTATAAGCTGGCGAATGAGAAGGTCTTTATAAACCGGGTCCCTCTTCTCCCACCTCATGATTCCTCAGTCTGCCTCCTGGTTAATTAGCAGTGATCCGGCTTGTTAATTAGCTGGTTAATTAGCAGTGATTCGGCTTGTTGGCCAAGATGTGTTGCTGTCCAATGCGGTAGCCACGGGCCACATGTGGCTATTTAAATTTAAAGGAACGAGAGGTAAACATTTCAAGTGCTCAGTGGCCACGTGTGGCTTGCCTTGCAGATACAGAGCGGGTCCCTCATTGCAGGTCTCTGGGAGAGCGCTGTTCTAGTGCGGAGGGTGCTGTGGACAGAAGGGGTTGCATTTTAAAGGCGCTGACAAGTCCTGCAGTAAGAATCTGGTCTCACCTGGAGCCTAGCACACCAGCTTTATCTGCCCAGGAGCCTTTTTAACACCTACAAACAGCTCTGCCTCTCCCTGAGCACATCAGGTGCCACCCTCCTGTCCGCAGGCCTCCATGACCCTTGGGAATCTAAGTCTCTCTTCTCGTCTTCTCCCCAGATTGCCTTGGGTCCCCGGTGTTTACGCCCATCAAGGCGGACATAAGCGGTAACATCACGGTAGGTACTTGGGCTGGCAGCTGCAAACCCTGGTACGATCTGGGGAATCTACACCTGCCCCGGTCACCAGAGCCCGCTCCCTGCCCCAGCTCCCCAGCTCCCCAGCTCCCCAGCGCCCCAGCTCCCCAGCTCCCCAGCTCCCCAGCTTGAGGGCTGGGAGGGGACCTGCAGGACAGCCGTGGCCCCAGCTCCTCTGAATCGGACTCGGGCTCTGGTGCAGTCATGCCTCCTAGTCGCAGCCTGAATGGGACCACAGGCGGAACCCACTGAGGCGGAACCTGCTTCTTCTATCCACTCCCCCAAATAACGAAACTCAGACGTCCATGGTGCCTGGGCCTGGCCCTTCCCTGCCTCAGGCCGGGAGTTCAGGGTGCCGAGCCCCTCTCCCCTCCCCGTGAGTGCTGGGGTCCAGCCCCAGCAGGTCCAGGGGTCCCCAAAGGTGTGGACGGAGTCGACGAAGAAGGAATGAATGGCACAGAGGCAGCGTTCAGTTAGTTCATCAGCATAGTTGGGTTCTCTCGCCTGGTTCTATCCAGGATCTCCAGCCAGGTTCTGGTTCAGTTCTTTCACAAGGTTCTCCAGGTTCTCCAGCCAGGTTCTGGTTCGGTTCTCTCACTAGGTTCTCCAGCCAGGTTTGGTCGCCAGGTTCTTCAGCCAGGTTCTGTCTAGGTTCTCCAGCCAAGTTCTGTAGCCAGGCTCTGTCCAGGATCTTTTGCCATGTTCTCTCGCTAGGTTCTGTGTCCTGTTGTCTTGTTACATCTGTATTTATACCAGTTGATTCCAATCCTATCAATCTCTATTCCAAAGGTTAGGGCGTTTCTTATCTCCATTCTAGGGAGTAAAGATTATGTAGCTTAAGCATGATTGTTCGTAGTTAAAGTGATTAACTACCCGCCTGGCACTTAGTTAAGTGGTTTTATTCCCTCCTTAACTTCAGGGGAAAATCCCTACCTGGGGAAACAACCTTTCTCGGAGAGGTGACCTTGGTTAAAACACATAGCGCTAAGGGGAACAAACATATTAAGAACAGTATGCCATATACGCCATGTCCACTTGAAACATAAGCTGTGCAGGTGTTCCTTCCCTGCAGCGACTGTGTCAAGCAGCAAGGGTGGACCGGCTCCCAGCCCTTGAGGGTCCTTTCAGGGCCTGGCCCAGGGCTTGGCTGCCCTGCACTCTCGCATCTCTCCATCCCAGCAGCCAGGAGGCTGGCTCTGTTGTCATCCCCGTTTTACCGATGAGGAAGCTCAGAGAGGTTGAAGGATGCCCCTGAGGTCACACCACAAGGACCTCAGAGGCGGGATTCAGACCCAAACTGCCGGCTCCACTCAGAGCCGTGTTTCTGGATCTTTGAACCCTAAGAGCATATTTCTGCTTGTCCAAACAAGTGAAGCTTCAGACACTCGGTGTCTGAGGTGCTGACCACAGTGGATGGAGAATGTGGACTCTGGAGCCAGCCTGTGCAGGAACCCGCTGCAATGCCAGGCAGACAGGAACCAGCTGTGTCACTGGGCACCTCACTGCCCCTCTCTGAGCCTCAGTTTCCTCATCTGCAGTTTGGGGTGATGACAGCGCAACATCAGGCTTGCTGTGAGCATCAGAGAAGGCAGTGCTCACGGGGGCGGGGGGGGCGCTCAGGAAATGGGGAGTCCGTGAGTTCCTGTCGCACAAGCCCCATTGCTGTTCTTGGCGCTGGTGGGTGCTCCTCCCCGCAGCGTGCCGGCCGCTCGTCTGTGGGGACAGCTTTTCCAAGGAGAAACCCCGTGTGCTCCATTTCAGAAAATCAAAGCTGTGTACAACACCGACCCGACCAAGTTCCGGACCCTGCAGAACATCCTGGAGGCGGAGAAGGAGATGTATGGAGCGGAGTGGCCCAAAGTGGGGGCCACGCTGGCGCTGATGTGGCTGAAAAGGTGAGGAGCCGGGGCGGCGGGCTGTGTGGCTGTGAGTCCTGGGCCCGCTCTGCCCACCCAGGACAGCCACCCACGGCCTGCCCTGGCGGGGGGGGAGGTCACTGCGTTCCCCTCACCTGTGCCGATGCCGGTTCACTGCTGAGGAAAAGCACCCCGGCCCGAGGGCTGCCCGGTGGCCACGCTTCCCTCCCGGAACCGTCAGAGGCGAGCAGGCCGCACACAGCCGGGCGTCGTGCTGAGCTCTTTCTTAAAAAGTATATTTCTCTTGATTTCAGAGAGGAAGGAAGAGGGAGAGGTAGAAAGATCAGTGATGGGAGAATCATCAGTCGCTGCCTCCTGCACGCCCCCTGCTGGGGATTGAGCCAGCAACCCGGGCATGTGCCTTGACCGGGAATTGAACCTCTTGGTTCCTGGGTTGATGCTCAACCACTGAACCACGCGGCCAGGCGTCATGCTGAGCTCTGTGTCCTGGCCGCATTTCACGTGCTGTGGGTTAGGAGTGGTGTGATCCCAGCTCACAGAGGAGGCCACGGGGGCTGCTGGAGGCCAAGGCCGCGGGGCAGGCCTGGGACCGAGCGGCCGGCATCGTTGTCAGGCTGACTGCACAGAGAGGTCCTCTCGGGGCGGGTTACGTGGTAGATCTGTGGACGATGACAGCTTCTTGCAGGAATACAGCATCGCAAGGAGAAGGAGCTATCTAATTTGCACAAATTCGTCCCGTGGTCTGGGGGACAGGGTACCCTGATGAAGGGTTTGAACCCAGATCATCTTACCACAGAATTGTCGTGCTCGCAGCCACTACACATCTTGTCCTCAGAGCAAATACTTGAATCCATATGTAGTTGTTCCCATTTTACAGATGAGGCCACCGAGGCTCAGAGAGGCCAGGCAGCTTGTTTGCTTAGCTTATGCTGCTCTCTACCGGCCACAGAATTCTCCTTCCTGTGCAAACACCAGAGCCCGCAGTGCCATGAAGCCAGGGGCCCTTCCCGGCCCCACAGATGTCCCAGCGTTGCTTCTCTCTGGGGCCTGGAGCTAGGAGGGGTGCGCCTCCCTGTCTCTGCCCAGACCCCCCAGCCAGTTCCTCCTTCCCCCAAACATGCGCTTCTTTGATAAAATGGAGCACAAAGAGCCTGCTTCCTGGAGGGGGTGACTGTGTGGGCATCGGGGTGGGTGGCCTGTAATTAACACCCTGACGTCATGTGTTAGGAGTTGCTCCAAGCTACTCACCTCTGGTGTCATAACCCTGGAGCGAGGAATGCCCTCGGCCCATCTACCCTATCACAGGATCTGGGCTTCTCGGGAGCAAAGCAGATGATGCTGTCGAGATCAGTGCGATCGTGTGTGTCCACATGGGTGTGGGCGAGCCAGGCTGCCGGAGGGCGGTGTGGGAGGATGCCAGCAAGTTGAGCACATAGTGAGCGCCTGCTGTGTGCTGCTCACGGTGCCGGGCGAGCAGGATGCCAATGAAATGAGGACAGACCCTCTCAGGGTCACGGTCTGGTGGGTGGATCCTGATAGCAGGATCTCAGAGCCTGGACAGAGAGGTCAGGGAGGGCTCCCTGGAGGAGGGTGGCCAAGCAGAGTGTCCAGGGCTGACCAGGAGGTCCCAGGCAGGGCAGGCGTGGCAGAGGTGGGAGAGGCCTGTGTGTCTGTAGCTCCGTGAGGAAACGGAAAGGGCAGGCCCAGACCCCAGCTCCCAGCAGGGACCGTGTTCAGCGGCCACAGCCAGGCCTGGGGTCGACACGGTGCTTGGGAGACGCCGTGTGGAGCCGGTGGCCACGCTACATGGGAGCCAGTGTAGAGATAAAGCGTGGGGAATGCGTAACCTCCTGCTTTTGCGTGCCCAGGTTCCCGCTCACAGTAGGTGCTTCGCTCAGCGTAGTCAGGCCTGCCAAGCGCAGGAGCGGGGCGTCCTAACGGGCCTGTCTCTCCTTCCTGGGCGCAGGGGCCTCCGCTTCATCCAGGTCTTCCTGCAGAGCATCTGCGACGGGGAGCGGGACGAGAGCCACCCCAACCACATCCGCGTCAACGCCACCAAGGCCTACGAGATGGCGCTTAAGAAGTACCATGGCTGGATCGTGCAGAAGATCTTCCAGGTGAGCCGGAGCCCGCCTTGTCCCGGCCCAGGAGGCTCCCAGCTGTGGGGCCCACGCCTCGCCCGGGCACGCCTCCTGTGGCCTCAGAGCCCCCTGTGGCCTCGGAGCCTGCGTCCGTCCGTCCGTCCGTCCGTCCCGGGCCTCGGGAAGGGCTCCCCTGCCGAGGGGCCGGTGCGCTGAGGGCCTCTCTCGGGCACTGTGAGCGGCTCTGCCTCACCGCCCCCTCCGTAGCCACACAGTGTCATGCTGGATGCTCCGTGGTGTTCTGTTGAGGTGCCTCGTCCTAGGTGGCCCGATGGGGAGGGAGAAGCCCTGGCCGCGACTCTGAGGACATCAGGGTGATGGTGGGCTGGCCTGCCGGCCCCTCAGGCTCAGCCCCGCTCCTCCCCCCGGGCAGGGAGGGGCAGGAGGCCCCGGGCCCGTGGGCACCGCTGACAGGAAGCTGACCCACAGGCTCCTGGTGGTTCGTGTTGGGGTGACGTTGGCCATCGTTCCTGGAAATGGGCCTCAGCACCAGCCTCGTTCCCTGAGGGCCCCCTCGGGGTGCCACACGCTGTCACTGGCCGCCCTGCCCCAGGGCTTGGCATCTCGTCCATGTCCTGGCCACCCCTCCTTCTGCAGCTCCCACCGCTGCCCAGCTCGCTCACATGAGAGGGTTTCAGGGCTGGTCTCCCCATGCGGCACAGGCCTGGGCAGGAGGAGCTGGTCACCAGGTGGGATGTGGACACCTCTGGGCCACCCGCCCTGGCAGGACTGGGACAGAGCTCCTCTGTGGGAGCCTCGCCTCCTGTTAGGACCTCGCAGCCCCGCCTCAGGAACAGCAGCAGGCCCTGTGAGGCTGGCCAGGCAGCCGCCCATGCTGGGCACCAATGCACCATGCGTGGGAGCATCCTTACCCCTCTCCCAGGTGCAGAAACGGATGCTCAGAGAGGTTAAGGGTCTTGCTCGAGGTCACAGAGGAAGACGGGGGCTGAGATCCTATGACTGACCCTCAGCACCCTTATCTTTCAAATGGGTGTAAAGCAGGCCCTGCCTCCAGGGCTCATTGTGAAAACGAGGCGAGTTCATCTGTACCAGGTGCTGGGCCCGTGGTTTGCACTCAGTGTATCAAACCTATTACGATTTCTTTTCATAATGACTATTACTATTTGTAATTTCCTCACCCCGTCAAACTCATAGCCTTTCTGTCTGGTGGCATACTTTTCCCCCTGGCTTTGAAATTCTGTGAATTTCTGATTCTCTGACACCTTTTCAAGTGTCAGGGGGGCCCTGAAATTTAGGCAAGTGTCGCCTCCTACAGGACAAAAGAGCCACAGATAGCGGCCCTCTCCCTGCTCAGGGAGTGGGTGTCCCAGAGGGAGCGGCTCACCGCACTGTGCGCCCCGTGTCCCGGCGCCACGAGCGCCTCCGTGTGCCCGGCGCTGTGCCGAGCACTTTGCACAACCTCCTTCATCCTCCCAGAAGCCACCCTGTCGGATGGGTGCCATGGCCACCCCCATTTACAGACGATGAACTGGAGGCTCAGAGAGGCTGAGTAACTTGCTCAAGGTCACAGCTAGTCGGCGGCACAGGCTGGAATTTGAACCCAGGTCTGTCTGCCCCCAGAGCTGGAGCCGTCCTGCTGCCCCTCACGGGGGTGGACAGGAATAGACACATCCCTCGGCCTTTGCCTGTCCCTTTCAGTGCCACAGTCGGCGCAGACCCTGCCCACCACGGGCCCCCTAACCCTGCGCCTCTCCTCTCCTCTCGCCCGCCTCCAGGCAGCGCTGTATGCCGCGCCCTACAAGTCCGACTTCCTGAAAGCGCTGTCCAAGGGCCAGAACGTGACGGAGGAGGAGTGCCTGGAGAAGGTCCGCCTGTTCCTGGTCAACTTCACGGCCACCATTGACGTCATCTACGAGATGTACACCAAGATGAACGCCGAGCTCAACTACAAGGTGTAGGCGTGCCCCCGGCCGGCACTCCCAGGCACAGACCAGCCAGAATCACTGTGAAGACCAGCAGCTGGAGGCCGCCGTGGCCTGCGTCCCCCAGAGCGGCCCAGAGTCTGGCTGGGGTTGCAGGGGACGGCCCTGGTTTCTGAAAAGTCACTTTTGGGGTCTATCCTAACGGAGCAATAAATAACCACCCTCTTCCGCATCTCCTTTAGTTCCACGGCAGCACAGACCGACTGCCTTCATTTCAGTGCGATAAAATCTTAATGTTGCTAATTCAAGTCCTAGGGCTTCCTGTCCCCGACCCCCGCGTGGTACGTGGCCCTGGGGGGGGCCCTGTCACACACCTCATTTTAACGATGAGGACCTGGTGCAGTGGTGTGAGGCCCACGAGGGGTCTGATTTGAAATCACACAGGATTGTTTTAAAGCGACTGCTGTGTGCTCCTGTGGTGCACAGCCCCGCCTCACCGCGCTGTCAGCA